AAAAAAAAATAATAAATAAATTAATAAATAAATAATAAAATGAAAAAATAATAAAATATAAAAATAGTAATAAATTAATAATAATAAAAAAAAAAATAAATAAATAAAATAATAATAAATATAATGAATAAAATAAATAAATAATAATAAATAGTTAATAAATAATAGTAAATAATATATAAATATTAATAAATATTTAATGAATAATAAATAAATAATAAATAAATAATAATAATAAATAATGAATAAATAATAAATAATAAATGAATGAAATCATAAATAAATAAATATTAATAAATATATAGATAAATAATAAATAAATATAAATATATAATAAATATATGATAAATAATTATAAATAATAAAGGAATGACAGTAAATCGTAAATAAATATTAATAAATATATAATAATAAAAAATAAATAATAAATAGATAATAATAATTATATAAAAAATAATAAATAAACAATAATTATGTAATAAATAATAAATAAATAATAATTATATATTAAATAAACAATGTTTTTGTTGTAAAATATCATGAATTGAGAAAATGTAATAATCTACTTTCATAGTTATATTAAAATTATAATCAGCGATTTAAAAAAAAAAACATTAAAAATTGCCGGGGGAGTCTAAAGTGTATACAGTAATAGCGGTGTCAAGGGAATACCCGCTTTTTTTGACACACCTTTTCTTTTACGGACAGGAAGGTTAAATATTGCCAAAAACTCAAACATACCTACGTGATTTATTGATAATATGGCTTAACCTAACAATGAGGAATCCGATAGCTATCTTTTATTTTGTTCAAGATTCCTTGTGACGATTATTATTTTCGGTAGGATTTCGCTGTAGTTGCCCGAGTGTATGTTAATAATGACGCTCTCAATGAGAGTAACTGTATCTTGGAGTCCGCCATTGCATGCACATCGGGAAATATGGAATGCATCTTAGTTAACATGCAAAAATAGCAGGTGCACATTTTCTACAGTTAACAGCTGATTCGAATCTAAACGACAAATTGTCGAACATTTCACGGATCTTGTTACTGGAACGACCGTCTAATTGAGTTGCCGATTTTCTCATCAGAAACAAAAGCAGGAGACGATGATGACGACGATGTCACACGTTGATGCCGCTTCAAACTCGGTCGGCGTTCTCCGATTTTCGAACGTGTCACTTTGTCAACGCCAAAAAAAAAAAAAAAAAAAGAAAATCTATTCCGTTCCTTGTCTCTCTCTTCCCAGCTGTCAGTGTCTGGCAATCTGATTTTCTCACTTCCTCTTCTCTTGTGGACGTGCGGATGATGTAGTGGGTAGATATTCTGAATGAGTAATCGGGGAGCCGATTTCGAATCCCAGCCGAATTCGCTACATTCTTTTTCGCCCAAAAACCGTTGGGAAAAGTTTGAATCCATCTCGTCTCCTCCAGCTATGGGTTAAATAGTAGGCCTTGTATCTGAAAAAAAATCATTATGTCCAAAAAATGTTAATGCACTATTCATTCGAAAAAAAAACGAAAACTGATTATTCCAACAATCCAAAATGAAATTTCCCGCTTAAATAAACCACAAAAGGTTGATAAGCCGTAAAAAAAAAACAAGCTAACAACAAAAAATTCTCTTTTCTCTCTCTTTACGTTTCACTCACTTTAACATTATGTACAGTCGAACTAATGTCCTCATCTTTGTTGTTGATATCACAACGTTTCGGCTTTAATACTATATGACCTTCTTCAGATGTTTATCTCAGTCATGGGCAAACTGCAGTCCGCGTTTTGTTCTCTTATACATAACCATGTTCATAAACAATGATTACGCACAATGTTTCTTGAATTTTATACAATTCTGGAGAAAGTAACGTTGTCAGCATTTTAAACCATTAGCGATTTTCACTAAGGAAGATCATACAGATATCTTTTGCTTTTGAAACAAAAAAGAAGAAAGAAATGTTTTCATTTTCAAATGAATAAATTCGAAACAAATCCCAGCCAGCGACAAGTGTTAATCAGTAATAATATTATAAATGGATTTCAATTTTTTAATTATAAAAAGATATTTTCTAAATAATAAAACTTTCCTACCTTATCTAACGTATATGTTTACACATATCGTCTTCTGTAATGAAAATAGCTGAGGTACCTACTACGAAAAATTACCTTGAATCTTTTTAATAGTGCGGCCCGCCATGTTATGAGCCGTAGTTCATGAGGTCCACTTCTCGAAAAATGTTACCCCTGCCTGCGTTAATCTATCGCCACTTCAATGGCAAATATTCAGATGAGAGCAACATGTGTTTGGGATCTTCCAAAACTAAAGCTTATAAAAACATACTTGCGGTCCTCCATGACTCAAGACAGATTAAATTCTATTTTCTTAATAGAAAATGATTTTGTAAAGAAGATAAGTGTATAACAGTCATTGGCAACCTGCGGGTTTTCTTAATTTTGAATGGTACGCTTAAATTCACAAGAAAAATAATGTTTCTTAAAATGTTATT